GCCTTCTAAGGCTTCTTCTAAGCGGGCCCTAGCCTCTAGGGTGCTTATTTCGTCCCTTATATTAAAGGGGTCGAAGGGGCCTAGCCTAGGCCGGGGTCCTAGGTCAGGTCCGGGCTTAGTTGCGTTTACGGGGGTACGTATTAGTTAGCGAGGGCGGGGAAGGGTTTTCTACCTATACGGGGGAAAACCTAGCCTAGCTCGCTATCTTCGGCAGTATATTACGCACCCGCTAGTAGCTACGCGAGGCTGTACTTAGGGGGGCGTAATATACTATTCGCGAGGGTTCTAGGCATATGCTTTTTTTTATTTTTTAGGCTTGGTTTCGAAAAGTTAGCTAAAAAGACGTGTAAGCACTATTCGATATATACGCGCCGTATACTATAAAAGTTAGCTTAGGTTAGTTACTTAAAAGGGCTATAAAAAGTAAGGTCTATAACTAAGGTCCCTTTTAAGCCTTCCTTTTAATAGGTACCTTCTATAGCTACTATAAGGTCTATTAATAAGGAGGCCTTATAGCGGTCGAGCTAGCTAATAAGGGCTTCTACCTTATAGGCCTTAAAGGATTCTATAAATAGGTTTTACTAAGGGTAGTATAGGTTAAAGTCTCTTATTAATAAAAAGGGCTGCTATAGGAGCTAGGCTATTAATAGTAGCCTTTCTATTATAAGGGGCCCTTACTAGCCTTAGCTAGCTAGGGCCCCTTTAGCCTCTTTTTTATTATATAAGTTAATAAGGGTAAACGGCTTAGCGCTTTTTACCTTTATAGCCTATATATTAGAATTATAAAAGAGGTCGAAGCTAGGGCTAGCTTCTATCTAAGCTTCCTTCCTCTTATAAGCTATAACCCTAGGCCTCCTATTAAGCTTAGGAAAGTTAGTTAAAGGGATAGGGGTTATAACGTTATAGGCTAAATACTATATAGGGATATAGCTATTATTAATCTTATAGAAGTAAGGCTCTTATAATAAGATAAGGTCCGCTCTTATTTCTAGGGCCTACTTTAGGATCGATAGGTTAGCTATTTCCTACCTATTAGTATTATACTATAACTAGGCTCTTTTAAAAGTCCTTAGGGCCTTTAAAGGATCCCTTATTAGGGCCCTAGAAGCTAAAGCAGCCCTCCTACTACTAAAGGTACGGTTTAAAAAGGTATACCTTTCTTATACCCTTTAAACCTTATACCTCCTACTAAATTACCCTATAAGGCAAGCTTATAACCTAGCTATATAAGATAACCTTGCTAACTTAGGCTCCGACCTAGGAGCCCTAAGCTACCTCCTTAAAGGCCTAGTAGCTATTATAGGGCCTAACTATAGCTTAGAAAGAAGGAAAGCTAGCTAGGAGCCCTTATAGGCTCTAGAGCCTAAGGCCTTTATTATAATAATAGAGGCCCTTAAGCCCCTAGCTAAGAAGTAGCACTAACGCTTCTTAGCTAACCTAGCTAGCCTAAAAGACTTTAGGATATAGCCCTTAGTTTTCTATATTAATAGCTTTAAAGGGTACCTTAATAGGTCCCTTATAAAGACTAACGCTTACTCCTTTTATAAGATAGGCCTAGAAAATAGGCCTAGTAAGGCGTACTATAGGAACTTAGGGCCCTTTATCGAAGTAGCTAATATAGAGCTATTCGCGATACTAAGGGTCCTAGAAGACCTAGCTAAGAGGCCTTAGCCTCTAAGGTCTAGCCCCCTTAACCCCCTTATAAAGGCTTATATCTTTATAGATAGCTAAGCCGCTATATAAAAGGTTAAGGGCTACCTAGACCTAGCTATATATATTAAAAGGCTCTTAACTAGCTTAGAGGCCTTCTATAATATATAGCTATATTAGTACCCTAGCTACCTAGGGATCTTTAGTAATAAGCTAGCCGACTAGCTAGCTAAGAGAGGCCTAGGGGCCCTTATATAAAGGACCCCTATAGTCTTTATTAGCTACTTATAAAGAATAGTCTAATAAGCTACTAAGGACTATTAAAAGGGCCTCTAGGCTACCGAGGCAGCTAAAGGCCCTAAGGCTAAAAGGCTTAAGTAAGTACTATATATTTATTTAAAAGACCCCTTACTTAGCTTTTAGCCTAGAAAAGGACTTTATAGGAAGGCCTAGGCCGACCCTTTTAGCCTACTACTAACTTCTCCTTAAAGCTAGCTTCTTATTATCCTTCCTAAGGAGGGTTAATAAGGTAGGCTAAGACGACTACTACTATAGCTAAGGAAGGTATATAGCTAAGCACCTTATCCTAAGGTGCCTAAACTATAAGAGGGAAAGAGAGGTCCTTTACTAGGCCTTAAAAGGATAGAAGGAGGCCCTTAGCTTACCTTTTCTTTATAGTACTAAGGAAGGAAGGAAAGCCCTTTTAACCTTCTTAGCTAAAATAAAGATAGGAATAGCTAAGTAGGTCGAAAAAGAGTAACCTAGGGGCCCTAAGGCTATTAAGGGGGAAAAATACTATATAGGAAGAACTAAATTAACCTTTCCTTTATCTTTACCTTTATAGCTACCCTTTCCCTAATTAGTTATAAGCCCCTAGGCTCTATAGCTAGCTAAGACTACTAATAAGGGCCTAGGCCCTTATTAGCCTCGCTATAGCCTTAGAGGCTATATATAAGTAATAATATAAAAAAAAACCCTTTTTCTTATTTATTATAAAATTTATTTATACCTAGCTAAAGAAAAAGTAAAAGGACTTAAGCTTACTATCTTAAGTTAGCTAAAGAAGTAGCTTTTATATTAATAGTACTACTACTATAACTAAAGGTTATAAAGGTTAACGCTAGTCTTATAGACGGCTCCCTTAGTATAGTAAGAACCTTATTTTTCTTACTAGCTATTATACTTTTAATCGCTTTTAAGATAGCTATAATACTTTCTTTTTACTTAAAAGGTAATAAGGTACTCCTTTAAAGAAGTAATACCTTTTTTAAAGAGATATTTATTAGATCTCTTAATTAATAGCTTATACTATTATAGACTAAGTAAAGGTATATATATAAGTACTATTTATAAGATAATATTAATAAGCTATATAAACCTCTTTTATATATAGCTAGCTTATATATATATATATATATAGGATCTAGCCTTTTATATATAACTATATAGCTTAAGCTATAGCCTAAGCTTATAACTTATAATAGTTAAAGACTTTTATACTTAGAAGGCTAATACCTTTTAAAGACCTTAGAAGGAAAGCTTAAAGCTTAAAACTAAGACTAAGGCTAAGAGGATATTAAGATAAAAGATAATAAAATAAGCTTAGTACCTACTTAAACTACTAGTCCGATCTAGCTTAGTAAGCCTAGCGGGCCTAAGACTTAGTATCTTTAAGCCTAGCTTATCCCTACCTTAAGCTAGCTACTTTTAGCTAAACTAGCCCCTTAAGTAAGTAAAGAGATAAAAGAAAGCTACTCTTAATAGCTTTATTAGCCTTATACTTACCTAACTTATATTCTAACGCTTATAGTAATAGCAACCCTAGCCCTAGCCTTAGTACTTCTTTTTAAAGGACTAAGCTTAGGGCTTCCTTTAGTAAGCCTTAAAAGCCCTTAAGGAAGCCTAAAAAATTAAACCCTTTTATAAGACCCTTATAAAAGGGCTCGAAAAGGCAGCTATAGGGACCCTAGACTACTAATAGCCCCTATAACAGCCCCCGTACTAAACTAAGGCCGCCTAGTAGCCTAAAGCTACCTAAGGAAACCTCGAAGCTAGCTCGTAGGCTAAGGTCGCCGTAAAGAAGGCGCCTAAGGCCCCGGCTAAAGCTTCGGCTAGGGCCCCGGCTAAGAGGAACGTAAAAGAGGACTTCTAGCTTATCCTAAAGCTAAAGAAGGGATCGCTAACGCCGACTATTAGCCCTATTGCTCTTCGTAACGCGTAGCAAAGGATCCGGGCGCTTAAGTCGGCTCTTGCGCTATGACTTCTATCTGGTTCTTTAAGGTGCTGCTCTGGACCAGCTATCAGCGCATATACATCTGGCCCTTAGCACCGATTCAAGCCACTTCTCCCCGCTGCCAATCTATCCCATTGCTCAAAGCAGGCGTCGCAGATGGCCCCAATGAACACCAAGTTCGTCTCCCTATGGGGTAGTGTGGTTGGGAGCGTCCCTGCTTCAGTCATCCCATCACCACTTATCGCGTAGTCTTCTCAAAATGCTGTGGACGCCTTTTGTTGAGTCCTCTCAACATCCCTTTCACTTTTTAAGGGCAGGATGTGTATCGGATGTTGAACTGTTGCCAGATGCTGTGGTTGCATGACGGTCTAGAGATGTCAGAAATCCCGGGGAATTCGCGTCAAGTGCGCAGACGCGAGGTTTTTAAGAGTTGGTGGTCTAGAAGCTAAGCGGGTGCCTTGACACTCACTTAGTACGTATGCGGCCTGCGATAAATTTCCACACGGGCAAGACGACGGGGACGAATAATGCCCGCTCAGATTCCGGGTCGAATCCAGTGTTTGAGAAGATGGGCACATTCCAGAGAGCGCGCCTCGCGTGTTCGGCTATGCGAAGCCAGCCTGAACTGATCGAGGAAGACACTACCATCGAGTCCAGTATCTCGTGCGCCGTGGATCGAATCGATTGCACTGCAAGTCTAGGAGAGGAAACCATTCCATAGCCGCCGACGATGGATTGAATCACGATGGTGGTATAATCAATTAATATGACACTCTTTCCACTCGCATTTGTCGGCGCCCGGCGATGGTGATGAGCTGCGTCCAGCAATCGCTGAGATGGAAGGAGGGACGTGGCGCTTCAGCTCCAGAATATTATCGCTGTCAAGTTGCGTACCGTTTGTGTCAGGGTGAGTGCGCTCGATACAACAAACACTCGGTCGCTCGCACCTGATGAATCACTGCTGCTGAAGGCTGCTTGTGCCAAAAGCCCGGGATCGCTACCAGAAAAAGAGGGAAACCAGAAGCGCCCCTGTGCTGTGAGTCTATGTGAGTCCAATAAAAAACAGGGATAACTCTGCCCGACTAGGCACAAATTTTCGGAAGCTGATGGAGTCGCCCTATGGTAGCTGGGCAGCGACCGCTGGGGCAGCTGCGTCTCTGCCGCCGCCGGCCACGACATCGTTGTTAATGCCACGGCCAGAATCCCCGGGGGCCCCTCCTTCAAAGATTCGGATCCACCACCCTGGAGGGTCGAGCGGCCTTGAGCCGTCATGCAGCGGCGGATATACGTCTGCGAAGAAGTACCAGACGTGGCCGATGACGACTCCCATAATCTCGTCTCTGGGAACGGACCCGTTCATGAAGAGGCTGAACGCCATGAGAACCCAGGGCAGGTAGGGGGCGGTGAAGACGACCAGGCCGAGGAAGCTTAGCCTGGTATCAGGATTGCGTCGCGACCAGATGTAAACAAGTGTCGAGGAAAGTGGGTGACCCAGAAAGGGCATAGAGACGAGCGGCGACAAGGCGATGAGGCTAGCCATTGCATAAAGCAGCAGCCACGAGAAGTGCGCCGGCGATCGACCCGAGGATTCTTCGAGGAGGCGTGCATAACGTTGAAGAAAGTATATATGAAAAAGAAGGTCAAGCGAGAAAGGACCGAAGTAGAGGAAAGTTGTCACAAGCCGCCAATACTGTGGTAAACTATTAATGTCTGCCTGCAGGAAGACAGCGGCATTGAGGAGTGGACTGACCTGGGACTTGACGAAGACGGCGCGAAAACTGTAGAAGAGTTGGAAGGGGGTCACTATGCGACACTGGACGAGAGCGCTGGTCAGGACCGTGGCAGCAGTCCACCAGCGGGTGCACATGGGCATCTCCCAGAACCACGCCTCCAGTGGCAGACGACCGCCGTCCACGACTTGGTCCATTGGGGCTTTTGATTGTCTGAGGGCAGGCGCACAGTCGAGCGAGCCGCTGGGCGTCGGGAGCGCTGGTGGGAGCTGTGGCAGGTTGGAGGAATGATTCGAAACGTGTCCAAACGGAGGCGAAAAGCACAGCACTCAAGCTCTCGCAGCTAAGAGAGGAGGGAACGGGCTCTATAGCGTCACAGCCAATAGAGATAAGGTGCCTCTTACACTAAGACCATGTACAACGAGATGGGTAGCCTAGTAATGAGTTGCGTAAAGAGCGTAGCTTAAGCGGTAGTTAAGTTAGCATACCTAGCTTCTGGCACCCCCTACTTCCGGCACCCTTCGCAGCACCAAGGCAGGCACATTCTAAACGCAATTAAAGCCGTATTTTAATATCACGATAATTAAATTTAGTGTTTCTATCTACTCTAGCTGCTAGCTATTATAAAGAGATTTAAATCCTACGTTCTAATTAGCTATAGCCGCGGTAGCCGGCTTAAGTATACGCTCGAGCTATTTCTTTATCTTTATAACTTATTTAATCTATATAAACCGCTTATTAAGGTCTTAAGGGACCTTTTTTTATTTTTAAGGCTAAATATAATATAATTAATACTCTAGCTATTATATTTAAGGCTAGGAGGCTATAAGCTACTAATTTTACTTATTAAGACTACGGCTAACCTTACTAAAGAGTAGTTAGATTATATAGTTAACTTAACCGCGGTTTTCTAAGGGGATAGCGTAGTAGTAAAAGCGCTTAAAAGACCTACTTCTTCTACGAGGTCGTAAGTTTAAATCCCGCCCCCCCCTCCTAGCTTATCTAGCTACTTTACCGCTAGCCCTAACTAGCTAGTATTAATAGTCCCCGCTTATAATAGGGTAGAAACGGCCCTTAGGCTATATAATAATAAGATACTATAGCTATAACGCTATAATACCTCTTAACCTTATAGTAGCTATAAAAGGTATATATTAAAAGGAAGGCTTAAAAGAGACCTTAGTTATAAACCTTATATTTTATAGCCCCTTTAAGTTACTAACTTAAACTAACTTTTAATTTTTAAAGGCTATAGGCTTAAACTATAAGCGTTTAGCCTTTAAAGCTAGCTTAAAGGGCCTTAATAGGCCCTTTTTTTTTTATATTATTACTCGTATATAGCCTCTAGGGCTATAGCGAGGCTAATAAGGGCCTAGGCCCCTATTAGTAGCCCTAGCTAGCTATAGAGCCTAGGGGCTTATAATTAATTAGGGAAAGGGTAGCTATAAAGGTAAAGACAAAGGAAAGGTTAATCTAGTTCCTCCTACGCGGTGTTTTTCCCCCCTAAGGGCCCTAAGGCCCCTAGGTTACTCTTTTTCGAGCTACTTAGCCGTTCCTATCTCTATTTTAGCTAAGAAGGTTAAAAGGGCTTCCCTTCCTTCCTTAGTGCTATAGAGAAGAGGTAGGCTAAGGGCCTCCTTCAGTCCCTTCGAGGCCCGGTAAAGGACCTCTCTTTCCCTCCTATAGTTCGGGCACCTTAGGATAAGGTGCCTAGCCGTATGCCTTCCTTAGCCGTAGCGGTAGTCGTCTCGGCCTACCTTATTAACCCTCTTTAAGAAGGATAATAGGAAGCCGGCCCCGAGGAGAAGTTAGTAGTAGGCTAAAAGGGTCGGCCTAGGCCTTCCTATAAGGTCCTTTTCCGGGCTAAAGGCTAGGCGGGGGGTCTTTTAAATAGACGTATAGTGCTTGCCTAAGCCTTTAGCCTTAGGGCCTTTAGCTGCCTCGGTAGCCTAGAGGCCCTTCTAGTAGTTATTAGTAGCTTATCGGACCTTTCTTTATAAGTAGCTAATAGAGACTATAGGGGTCCCTTATATAGGGGCCCCTAGGCCTCTCTTAGCTAGCTAGTCGGCTAGCTCGTTACCGAAGATCCTTAGGTAGCTAGGGCACTAGTATAGCTATATATTATAGAAGGCCTCTAGGTTCGTTAAGAGCCTTCTAATACGTATAGCTAGGTCCGAGTAGCCTTTAGCCTTTTATATAGCGGCTTAGCTATCTATAAAGATATAAGCCTCTATAGGGGGGTTAAGGGGGCTAGACCTTAGAGGCCGAGGCCTCTTAGCTAGGTCCTCTAGGACCCTTAGTATTGCGAATAGCTCTACGTCGGCTACTTTAATAGAGGGCCCTAGGTTCTTATAGTACGCCTTACTAGGCCTATTTTCTAGGCCTATCTAGTAGAAGGAGTAGGCGTTAGTCTTTATAGGGGACCCCTTAAGGCACCCCTTAGAGCCGTTAGTATAGAAGACTAAGGGCCGTAGCCTAAAGTCTTCTAGGCTAGCTAGGTTAGCTAAGAGGCGTTAGTGCTGCTTCTTAGCTAGGGGCTTAGGGGCCTCTATTATCGTAATAGAGGCCTTAGGCTCTAAAGCCTATAGGGGCTCCTAGCTAGCTTTCCTTCTTTCTAAGCTATAGTTAGGCCCTATAATAGCTACTAGGCCTTTAAGGAGGCGGAAGAGTTACGTATAGGGCCTAATATAGCTTAGGGCTCCTAGGTCGGAGCCCGAGTCGGCGAGGTTATCCCGTACGGCTAGGTTATAAGCCTGCCTTATAGGGTGATTTAGTAAGAGGTATAGGGTTCGAAGGGCATAGGAGAGGCATGCCTTTTTAAACCGTACCTTTAGTAGTAAGAGGGCTACTTCGGCTTCTAGGGCCCTAATAAGGGATCCTTTAAAGGCCCCTAGGACTTTTAAAAGGGCCTAGTTCTAAAGCCTTTAGAAAGGCTTTATTAGGCTCCTAGGGGTCTTAGGCCCCCTATACTAAAGCTAGGCCCCGTAGTCTATTATCGAGGTTACGTAGGCCTAGTAGAGCTGCCTCGAAGCTCTAAACGATAGGCCTCTTTATATAGAGACTAGGCGGGATAGCCCTTTAAAGGCAGCTTATACGGAGGCTACCTTCTTATCGATATATTATTTAAATAGGAGCCTAGAGTCGAAGAAGACCCCTAGCTACCGTACTAAGGGCTTCGCTTCGAAAAATAGGCCTCCTACCCTTATACCCTCTAAAATAGGCTGCCTTTACCTAGGGGTCGAAATAGACCCCTTAGTCCTTAGCTTATTCGAATAGGTTAGCAGCTATAGCTTCTAGCTACCGGACGTTCTTCTTAGCCGAGGTCGACGTTATAGAGATACTAAAATCGTCTATATAGGATAGCTAGTACCCCTTAGCCGCTAGTATCCCCCTTACGTATAAGAGGAATAGGATAGGGCTAATAGGGGACCCTTAAGGTACCCCTATTACTAGGTCTATTAAGGGCTAGGTTTGCCCCTTAAAGGCTAGCTAGATCTTCCTTTTAGTAAGGAAGTCGTCTACCTAGCTTATAAGGGCCTTAGGGAGGTTTAATTCCCTTAGGACCCTTATAAGCTATTCCTTTAATACGAAGTCGAAGGCGCCTTTTATATCTAATAAGAGGGTGCTTATAATAGCCTTCTTATTAGACTCCTGCTTCTTTTAGGCGTAGTATAGAAGGAGGAAGGCCGTGTCGATCGCTAACCGCTGTTTTCGTCCCCCTAGCTACGTAGGGTTTAGAAGCCCGGCCGTATTAGCTAAGTAGCTTAGCTGGGTAGCGTATAGCTTTTCGAGGACCTTTCCTAAGTAGTTAAGTAGACTTATAACCCTATAGGCTTTAGGGATAGTATAGTCTAGCTTATTTTACTTAAGGAGTATAATTCCTATAGCTTCCTTCTACGCCTTAAGGTAGTATCCTTAGTTAAATAGGGCTTTATAGGCCCTATTAAAGACCGTGGGAATAACCTTATACGCGTGTTAGATAGGAAGGAAGCTAAGGGAGTCCGGGCTAGGGGCTTTCTTATTAGAAGAGCTAACGATAGCCCTTTTAATCTCGGGGTCCTTTAGCTCTTACTAGTCTTACTTAGCCGTGCCCTTACTACCTATAGGGCCCGGGGGCTCTTCTTTTTCTAGGCTCTAGGGGGGGCTAGGGGGGCTAGGGCTAGGGTCCGGGGTCGGAAAAAGGGTCGTTAGGAAGGCCTCGCATTTTTCCGTAAAGGTATTAGCTTTTACCTTTATCCCTTCTTTTATATACGAGATACTCGGAAGGGTAGGGTTAGCTTTAGGCTTAGTATAGGAAAAGGCCGTAAAGACGTCCTTTCCTACTACTTCTGCTAGGAAGCTCTCCTAGTATTGCTTTTTAGTAGCCCTAATAGCGTACTTAAAGCTATTTCGGGCCTCTATAAAGCTCTTCTAGCTCTCCTCGTCCTAGGCTAGCCTATAAGCCCGTTAGGCTAGGCTTAGGGCTTTCCGAAGGGAGGTTAGCTCGTCGGTCTACCAGGGTTTAGATCCCTTATAGGGCCTCTTTTTCGGTATCGCTACGTTAAAGGCCTCTATAAGGGTTCTTTTTAAAAGGGAGGCTATCCCCTTTAAGTCGTCTCGTTTTATAGCCCTCTCTATAGCTATAAGGAGGTCTTATTCCTTCTTAGCTAGGTGTTCCGAGAAGGCCTTTTAGTCTGCTTTCCTATAGTTATAGGTAGTAGGCCTAGCTAGTAGGGGCCTATTAGGGCCCCTTAAGCTAGCTTCGAAGGCTATAGGCTTATAGTCTAAGCCCGTAGCCTCTAGGAAGCGGAAGTTAGCCTAGGTTAGTTGCTTAAAGGGGCTATAGAAAGTAAGGTCTATAACCGAGGTCCCTTTTAAGCCTTCCCTTTAATAGGTGCCTTCTATAGCTACCGTAAGGTCCGTTAGCAAGGAGGCCTTATAGCGGTCGAGCTAGCTAATAAGGGCTTCTACCTTGGGCCTTAGAGGATTCCGTAGACAGGTTCTACCGGGGTAGTATAGGTTAAAGTCCTGCTAATAGAAAGGGCTGCTATAGGAGCTGGGCTGTTAGTAGCAGCCTTTCTATCGTAAGGGGCCTTTGCCGGCCTTAGCTAGCTAGGGCCCCTTTAGCCTCTTTTTCGTTATATAGGTTAATAAGGGTAAACGGCTCGGCGCCTTCTACCGCTAAGGGTACTCTTACTTTAAGGCCTAATGCTATAAC